TACATGGCAAATCAGTACAAGAATGAGAAACAATTAATAAAAGCCAAAACAAGAAAGGTCGTACCTGCAGCAGAGAACTGAGACATCCCTGCCAGCTACATCCTTCATTACAGCAATTGACAACAAGTTGTTTAATCAATCTCCTAGCAGCATGGTCCTCAAAAATCTAATAATTAGAAGAAATAATTACGGCCATAGTTGCATTCAGCAGCCTTACCTGTGAAACAGGGCCTCTTTTAATACCATAATTAGTAATTTATATTCACATTTATAGTTATAAAAAAGTTCTAAAAGTAAAAAAAATTTTTTTACTCTTGACATATACAAGCATTTTGCGAGGCATGGCGGATGTCCGGGGGGTCACTAATTCGGACAATGCCGGAAGGGGGGGGGAGGGGGGTCTGAAAATCCATCATTTGGCCGGACATCCTTTGTGAATGGCCCCTAAGACTTGTCCTATTCTAGTAATTATTCCCATGACCAAATCTTTGTCTAGCGGATGAAATATATAAAAATGTCTAAAAATGTCAAAAATCAAGCCCCAGACAATCAAAAATACAAATTATTAAAATTACAAATAATTTTGGTTTAAAAATTGCCTTAATTATTGAATAAACGATGCAAAGGCATATTTTACTCTGTCTATATAAAAGTCACCAGACAATTTTACTAGACTGAGAGTGCTGGCAATCAATCAGTTGATCAGACTATGGTTGTATGTGCAATTATAGTTACAACCCATTAACTAATATTTGTGCAGACAATTTTACTCGATCATGAAGGCCGGGAGTGGTGGTGCTCGATCAATGGGTTAATTAATAATGATCTAATAACTTCCTTTATTCCTAATGGTTTGAACTGTGAGTGCATGAGGTATGTCCCCTGGTGTCACTAACAAGTTTTAAAGTTGTTGAAAACTTTTTTCATACCACTGTTTTAACTCTCAAATAGATATATTAGGTTTAAAGGTTAAATTAGAGTAGAAGTGGAATCATGCAGTTGATTTTGTGAAAATATAAAGTTAACTAATTGTATTAATTGCCGGAACTGAACTCTGTAAATTAATATTAATACTCATAATCATGCAGTGCATTATATAGTTATTCGTCCCACACCAGATCCCAATATTTATATATAGACACCAATTTACTGACAAAAGTAAATTCCTCATGCTGAAATTCCAAATGAATTTAACAGTCAATTTCAAGAAATTCCTTGGTAGTCAAGTTGGCACTCGCTATCTCGGGTTTTAGTGAAATTTCAAGTGTTTATATATATAAATGTAAGAGTTCAGCTTCCTGTAAACAACTGTGGCCATGCAGTCTATTGGGTAGTTGGGATAAGGACCAGATGCAGGTTAATTAGAGATCAGTACACCTGCAAGGTTGGGAGACGTTCAGAAAAAATTTTGGATGCATAACATTGTATTTGCATCATTGTGAATGCTGTATACATGTACACACAGGCATATATTGTGTCACATTAAATTAGCTGCAATACATTGGGATATTCTGTGACTGTGTTGGATGAATTAATCCACAGCAGTGAAATATATATAGAGGTTATTACATGGTGGTGCAAAGATATGACTTTTATCTTCGAGTGGTGAAAACAGTATAATTTTACGAACGAGCAGATTGATCGAGTGAGTAAACCTTCAAGCCAACGTGTAATGTTCTGTTTATTATATATAGTCCCCAGCAAAAAATTGTATAAATACTAAAAGTCATGTGATCGATATGAAGATATGGAAAATATGTCACTAGCTGTGTATTTTTCAGTATCTCACTCTCTGCTATGTAATAAACAGGTAACTTTCCAGGTAGCATACCATCACATCTGATATTTTAATTCTGCATGTTGGACAATGAGGATCTATCCTAAAAAATAAATATTTGCTGCTGAAGTTGCTAATTGGGCCATTCCATTTAATATAGGCACCCCCTATTGAGGGGACCCTTCATAATCCCCTTAGGATATAAAAATCTTAGAACCCCCTTGGATGCGATTTTTGGAAGTTATGTATCGATCAAGTTCGAAACTTCACACCCCCCCCCCCCC